GTATATTCAGATAGTCAGTCTTCTATACATTTATGTAAGAATCCTATTTTTCACGAACGCACCAAACACATTGATGTTAGACTACATTTCATTAGAGATATTGTGTCTCAAGAAGTAGTAAGACTTGAGAAAATACACACACAATATAATCCCTCAGACATGAGCACTAAAGTACTATTGTTGGTGAAGTTTAGAAGTGGGAAAGATCTTCTAAACATCGATGGAGGTAAATGATTTCCAATTTTATTGGTTCTTCCTTTCTGGATTATTACTAATGCTTACTAATTTCTTCTTTGCAGGTCCTTTGATACCAAGGTAGAGGTTTGTTAAGCAAATTTGTTGTCAAACGACCTCCTTGAACGATAATGTAAGTATTGCTTCTTTTTTTTTCCAATTGGGCTCAACCAAATGATTGAATATGTTTCGACATCATAGTTGACTAAATTTATCACGTAATCCACTTGGACCATTTGAAACAACCTGATTATATTAGTGCTACTCATGGCCCAACCCAAATGACTTGGATGGCTTTAAGGTGTTAGCCCACTTAACTCTTTTATATTGGGCCTATTATTTGACCTAAAAGCCCACATCTACGCCAACCTATTTTAATACTCTGTCCATGACTGTTTGGAGTGTGAAAGTGATTGAGGCAACCGTGTGTTTTCTAGAGAAGAACAGATTCATTCCCTTCCTTTGCTTTGTGCTCTTAACGGCTTGGTGTCATCCTTCGTTGGGCAATTTGTCTCTCTCTTTTTCTTTTGTGGTTAGCATATCTTTAGGCCTTAATCTCTTTCATCCTCAAGCTCTTTGTGGGATGAAAACATTGGAACAGCCGGTTCAGTTTTGGGAAGGTGTTTGGTTTGTGGTTTAGTTGGTTAATTGTGGTGTTCGATCGATACTGAGCTCGGATCTTGTTGCAAAGTGCTCGTGATTTTCCTCACAATGTCTAAATTCACCATGCTCTAGTGGATTTATATTCGGCTATGACAGGATGGCAAAGTTGCTTACGTCTTTAGATTTAGTATAATAGTTGGCTAGCATGTTAACTAACATCCATAAGAGGATGCAGCATTTGTAAGGACCTCATACAAACTTTATCACCATTAGTGTAACGACCCGGATCCCACTTAACTAGCTATCCCAGCCGTTAGATCGACGACGTACTATCCCCACTGTACCAACGTGAGTCTTTTCAGCATACTTTATCCTCACTCGCACGTTCCACAAGAAAACTTCTCAGGGAGTCACCCAACATAAAATTGCTCCAAGCCCTTTACTATGGAGTTTCTAACGATGAACTTCCGGAAAAGAAGGTGCTTCTTGTTGGTATGAGTAGTATCTATCAAATCTTTTAAACTTTCCTGGTCTGGGTATTACAATTAGCATGTTCTATATTTTCTATGTTTCTCTTGTATGGAATCCAAAAATTCCAATTCAAGAGTTTATCGTCTAGGTATCAAACTTTGAATTATTCTCGAGTGTAAAGGGGGGTTCTCACAGAACCCCCCAAAGAACTCCCAGTACACCAAGAATAATTCATCAAACTTTAGTTAAAGAATGGTTCAAAGTCAACTAGTGTTTAAATATTTATAGTGTTTGCGGCTGTGAATAAAGTGGCTGGGTTTAGGTATGATATCTGTAAGAGGGGTCAAATGTTTGAAAGTGATGAGGTGATTAAATGGCTTCTAGTAGCACCAAATGTATCTATCTTATACCCGAATTTTTGGCGTGAAGAAGTGTGTTGGCTACTGTGACTAGACAAAGCTCTTAAGTCCTGACCTTGATAGCCTTGCTGCATTGTCTCATCATGAGCACATCTCCCTGTAGTTCGGTCTTCTTTGACAAGAACAGAAGCCTTCTAGTTCGGCAATGATTATTACTGACCTTGACAGGGGCGGGTCCAATTCAGGCTCCGTGCAGGCAGATGCCTCCACTAAACTTTTGGCCACTCCAACCACATTTTCTGAACACATAGTGTTATAAATCCATGTACTTCATGGCTGGCTATGGTTTCTTCTTGAGGGCTTCCCAGGAGCCTTCATATGAGGGATTTTTCCAGAGCCGATTTATTGCAAAGCAAAAAGTCTAGTGATATAGAGGCAGTCGCAGAGGCAGAAATTGCAATTACAGAAGATGAGGTGGCGGAAAGGGAAGCTGAGGCAGATGCTGCTCAGTGTTTTGTGGAGGCAGCTACGAAGGCATTGAAATGCGATATTATCCTATGTTGGTAAAGTCAATCTTTGAGTTCCGAGAACCTGCAGAAGATATATAGCTATTATTGCGCCAGTGCAAAACCATTACATGCAAGACTTTCGGATCTATTTTGCTTCCAATCCAGATTGCAGATGGGCAATTTATGGTCTTTTTGACCAAATCTTGACCCAGCTTGTATTCTATAATGTTTTTTGGGTTCTTGCTCTTTGATAAATACTGACTCTATTATCTAGCACTAGCATTTTTTGAGAACTTTTTGGCTCTCTAGAGTTTGTAGGTGGGGCATTTTGGGAAATTCTTCTGACCAAATTCTTTCTAAATTTGCAAATTGCCTTAATTCTTTGATAATATCATTTTACATGTATGCAGACCAGCAGATGGCCACCACCACTCATTGCATCTCTGGATCTTGGCAGTGCACTGCCTATTTTTCGCAAGCAAGTCTTTATGATGTAAATATGGATAGGGATGTATATCTGGAATTTTGTCCATAGAAGTCTGAATTTTATTGGTTTTTATGTTGAACTAAACTCACAATGAGAGTAGCTTGATTTTCATAAAGAACCTCAAGAGTTAAATTGCATTATTAATGGTTTTCATTTGCTGCATCCTACGCTAAATTTTTGGGTCCAATTTAGTATGAAGGGTAGTTATGTCCTATTTCCTTTTCCTTTCCTTTTTCTAAAAGTTCCTACGAATCTAAATGTTTTCTTATTGACAAAATTGATATATTAGTTCCCTTTTTTAACCCCTTTATATGTACAATAGTTCTCTGCGGAATCCATTTTTCTTTACCTATGCACCCTCTTGCTTTGTGCTACAAAGCTTATTCTTCTTTGGTCTTCCAGATTGCTTCTTTGGAGTTGGAGAATATATTTTGTTTCAGCTCTCTATTTGTCGCTTAAGCTGAACTTTAAACATTTACTAATATCGTCTGCACTGAAAAAATTTCCTGCGTCCGCCCATGTACCTCGGGATGGCATAATCTAAACAACTATCTTCAAGCTTCTGGCCACTCCAATGCATTCCGTTGGAGTTTTGATTCGTCCGCCCATCGTCATTTTTTTGCCGTAACATCTTGTAATTGATAAATTAATGAAACAATGGGAACTGTCATTTCATTTGGAAGGTTAATAATCCTGCTAAAACTGCACTACTGGTGCGAACAGATGAGTTGGGCTTCACACATTCATCTGTTGCAGAAGTATGCATGTACGAACAGTGTAGAATCCCACCGCACACCCCCCACACAAAAAAAAGAAAAAATAAAGAAAGAAAAAAAAAGGCACTAATAAGAAAATCTTAAAAACCTAATCATGTGAGCAGGTGTCATGATCATGATTGATATGTCAGCATGCAGAGATAGCATCAGGAATCAAGATTCTAACAGTCACCTTTTCAGTTTTAACTACCTGGAATGTTCTTGAAATTCTTGCATAACTGGATAGACCTCATCAAGAAACCTCTCTCACGTCTGTGCATTTTCAAGAAAGTAAACCTTACACTGCATATTATCCATATAATACATACAGAAATTTATTATTTTTCTTCTGGAATTCTTGGAAACAAAATTTAAATAATTATGTTTGTTAGTTTCATATAACTACTCTTCCATTTCAATTTGCATAAACCCTCTTCAAAGTTTAACTCTCCACATTTCGTCAGCCATTCCATTCCCAACTCTTTCCAAGAACTTCTCTGAAATTCAAGAAAACTTCAAAACAAGAAGTCAAATCCTTCATAATGGACGAGTGGGCCAATGTTAGCTTAGAAGGAGCCTCCAGTACACAAGATGATGATGATGAAAATAGTTGCATTGTTGTCTTTGAAGCTGCAACTAGAAACAGGTACAGAACCATGTGCCGGATTGGGACTGCATCAGGTCTTTCAGTGTACAGATGTGCGTACATTGCAGAAAACTTCAATGACTATTCAAGAATTGGGATTCATGATGTCTTTTTTTCTCTGAAATTGGTCAAAGTCAATCAACAAGAGGCCTTCAACAAGCTGAATCGAGAAGTTGAAAGAAATTGCTTACTCCCTCATCATGAAAACCTCATGGGAATCACTAAATCATTTGTGGACAATGAGAAATTATGTGTGGTGTTCCCATACATGGATGTGGGATCCCTCCGATCCATCACTGCTGCGAAATTCCCTGAAGGTCTTCCAGAACACTGCATTGTACTTTCTCTCAGGGAAACTCTATCCGGTCTTTCGATTATCCACGCAAATGGACTCATCCACAAAGAAATCAATGCTGGCCATATTTTCTTTAGTTCAAAACCTGAAATCAAGCTGGGATATAGCGCCACTATATACGAACACAAACTCGAACATGGTAGTGTTCAGGCCTCTTCTTCCTCAGTTCTGCCTAGTTATTCGATATGCGAATGGGCTGCAGCGCCCGAGGTTTATGGCACACAAAATCATTCCAAGGCTTCTGATATATGGATGATTGGTATAACTGCTTTGGAGTTGGCTTATGGTGACCTTCAGGTGCGTGACAGGGATAGTTTTGAGGACATGGTGAGAACAATATGCAAGAATAAATGTTTGCCAAAGAAAGAACAGAATGAGAACCCTAACCCTAACAAGAAAAAAATGGGTTTTCTCAAAGGATTGATTCCATCGTGTGCTGTTCCAGTTAAGTATAATGGAAGAGAGTTTTCGAAGGATTTCGTGAAGATGGTTGTCAAGTGTCTGAATTGGGACGCTGAAAAGAGGCCAGATGCTAATGAGCTTCTCCGCTATGATATCTTCAACAGGTACATGGACATTTACTTCTTTCGAAATGAGATTAGCTTAGGAGGGCGTATACTTGGAGACTGGAGAACAAGTTAAGTTTTAGGTTTTCCACTCAAATTCATTTTCAGTATATTTCTTGATATGTTTGTGCTGACAATTGGAAATTAGGGTTTATTTCCATTATTCTTGATTCAATTTCTGAATTTGTTAGTTTCGAACTTACGGTTGAACCTTTTTCCGAATTTGTTTGTCGAATAATTTTTTTAAAAATTGAAGAATATTATTGTCCATTTTCATCAGTTTTTTGTAGAAAATGGTTCGAATTTATTTTGTTGGTACTACTGAATGTTTTTGGTTAATCTATCCATTTGCTATCAATTCTTGCAAAAAACACTGTAACTTATTCACATCTTATCCATGTTAACGGTTTTCGCTCAAAAAGTACGTTGCGAATGTGTAAACTAAAAAGTTCTATTTTTCCTTAATAAATATAAAAGTGTGACAAAATAATTTTTCAAAGCACGCAAAAGGAATAATTTAATAAAATATGTTAATTGATGAAAGTTAGATGATAAAAAAATTGATGAAAAAAGTTACAGACATAAGTGCTACTACAATAAGCGTAACTTGAAGACCAATTTTTTTCCAATCAAAATGAATTCTTGAATAGCGATTGACCCTATTTTAATCACACATTTTTTCAATAAAATAATATTACATACCTTATTTTTTAACCACATATTCTCTATCGTGACACTATTGCAAAATGCATTTTTTTGAAGGAAAAAATGGACCTCAAAGAAGCTCTAAATGTGTAGTATGCTCTAAAGACCTGATGGATTCCTTTACCATAAATATTATGTAGCTAACTGATACCAAACTTAATTATGTTGCCTAAGAACTTAGCTAGAGAAAGATACCCAAGGAGTTGATAACTTTGAATTATGAAAATTAGATTTAAAAAATAAAAAAGGTACATTTTTTTTCTTGCTATTTTTATCTAAGAAATTTCCTTTTTTCATGAATAAAGAGAAGTAAACCCCTATTTGAGCCAAATTATTTTTCTCATTCTCATTCTCATTCTTCTACTCATTTGCAATCACACATTTTTCGATAAAATAATATTTTCTATGACATCAATAATTTTTTCCTTCATTTTCAATCACATATTCCACATCACATCAAAATGTGCACCAAACAGGGGCTAAATATCATGTTAATTTCATGATTAAACTGATCCTACATATGAAACGAATTGAATTTTGAAGTTCTATATCTTAAAAGGTGAACTTTGTTAAAGTGAATAACCGTCAAATAATATTTTTGCAACATCATGTTCTATCCTTAAAAATATTATTGCAATGTGGTGGTTCATTTGAAGATAATCGTGTAATATGACCGCTTATTAAACTTGAGGCAAGATAATGAATTGTTCGTTTCAACTTTTCTAGACTTTAGTATCCTATCGAATATCGAGATTCTCTCTTAAACGTTCAATCTTAAAAAATGAATTATTCATTTTCTTAATTATTATATTAATATTTAAGCAGTATGAAATTTTATTCTTAATAAAATGACATTTAAAACGCGCATGCTTACAAAATAATATTCAATGTACAAATGCATAGAGGATGATTCATATTATCCACGCAAGACCAACAGCATCCTGCAATCTGGATTTGCCTCCCATGTTAATTTAGATTTTCTTGTAGGAAATAAAGGAGACAATAGATTATAGTTGATTCGATCCCATTTATGTAAGATTTCATTCATACATTAAAAAAAAAAAAAACAAGTCCACGAATACTCTCCACCAACAACTGCACAACCCTCCCGTACCTCACCACTGTTTTTCAAACCCCATTTAATTTGTCTCCATATGGTTTCATCTACTCTTACTTTCTTCTCATCATTGGACATTTATATGACCAAGTCTTAAGAAACTTCACAAGTAAAAAAAATCATTTGATTATTTTGAATTTGGTGTTGTCAAACGATAAGTGGATTTCCTAAGTCAATTATAAGTGTTTTTATATACTTATTCGAATTTCCAAACTTGATTATTTATTTCGAATTGAGCGGATATTTACCTTGTTTAGTATATTTTATATTAATTATAAGTAAAACTCAAACTCGGATATAATTGTCATGAAAATGCATTTTCAGAGCTTAACTAGAGTTGATTCGAAATAATTGGTAATCAATCCGACTGCACGTGATCAATTAGAAAAGATTCACAAATTTCGAAAGCTAAATCCAACATTTAAAAAGTTTGAGGACTTAAAATTGGAAATTTTCAAAATTTGCAACGGATCAATTACGGACTATGGATGATGAGGATCGAAGTATAAAGATTAAAGATGAATTACCAATGATACAAATATAGAGGTACACGAATTGTATCAAATGTGGAAGTTAGAGACCAACTTGAACGGGAAGGCAAATATTGCAATCGAAGGGAGTATCCCACGCGATTGCAAGGTGGAAAAATTTCCACCAGTGAACCCAAGAATAACACTGTGTGATCTCAACCAAACACGCTATGCGATTGCATGGTGTTGTCCGGGGCAAAAAGTATTTATTTCCTATTTTGATTCAATCTCTTCTCGTAAATCAATTAGGAAATAGTTGCAACCTAATTCTTGGAGCTATAAATATTATATATCTTCATCTACAATTCAAGTGGTGGCTCTTAGGGTAGAAAATACATATTTCTTATAAAGCTTCAAAGAAATTTTTGATACAAAACACCTATTACATACATAAGTTCATACATCCTTGCTTGAGTTAGAAGAAGAATTTATTCAAGGCGATTGATCAAGAACAATTAGGGAAGAGTTTTAACCTAAATCAATGCTTGGGTTAAAAGAAGAAGATATTCAAGGAGATTGATCGAGAACCATTGAAGGGATTCAAGATCCAAGATTGTTTTCCATCTTTCTTCTCTATCTGTAATTTCGGATGACGTTGTTTCGATTCGATTCATGTTATTGTAATCTTATGATGCTTGCCTAATTGTGTCGATACTAGGATAACATTGAACATTGTGTTTTGATATTAATTTTCAAAATTTAACATTAAGTGTTTGTTTAGTTTGAATGATTGTTGAGATCTTATAGCTTTTCGATTACTTGGACAAAAATTAAATTATTGTATGATGTCTAATAAAGAATGAGGATATACCACTATGCTTTGCATGATTTAGAATTTAAATATTCAAGATTTAATGCATTTGCATTCAGGATAGGGATGTTTTGGATCATATGTGAGGATATATTTAATTCTACTCAGAATATATTATTAAATAAAATATGGACATTGATCTTAAAATCCGAATAAGTATTGTTAAACCTTTAAATTGATTTTAAAATGGAAGAATACATTAGGATTCGAAGTCCTTGAGCTTACCCTTAGTTTCGTATTCATAAATACTTCCCAATTAATAAGATTAGTTAGTTTTAGATTTTATTAATAACTATCATCCATCTAATCATAATTATATTATTCTTTTAAAGTTAGGTTAATTGAAAACTAGATTAAATATTTAGTTTTCGTGGGATCGATACTTAAATTCACATTCACTTCATTCTTGTTTACGATACCGTTCACTTACGGGGTTTTAGTGAAACATCAAATGAGTGGAGTCACAAGACTCGAAATGGCGCCTTGGACACGTTGCAAAAATTTATATGTGCTGAGTTCTTCATCGATATAATTAGTGAGAGGTCACACGTAGTCGAAAACTTGAGATTCTCTAACATTATATTACTCCATCCCAAAGTCTACACTTTGATGCCATTTTCCAATAATTATTAGTTTATTTTTTGTACCAATAAACGGTCTATTAGTGTCCCCTTAATTACTCACTAAACAGTCCGACAAACCTCCAAATCAATTCATAAACAAACTCGATTAGCCATACACTGGAAGAAAAAAGAACAAAACATGCACATTAATTTTATTCTCTATGTAGTTACCTATCAAGTTCCAGTGACTCTTCTTGGATCATGATAAACATGACCATATATACTATCAAGGGCAAATTGAATTTCTCCACTTTTGAGTCAAATAAGGATTAGTCGATTCTATTTTTCGAGAGTATGGAGGAAATATACCTTAATTAGAGGTAGAGTCATATATACATTGACATGGTGAAAGTCATGAGTGATCAGTTTTCATATTTTGAATCGTTCTCCCACCACGATTCAATAAAAATGAATGAGAGGATCGCGAAATGAATGTGAAGGGATTGAGATGGCCACATTTTTGAGAGTGAAGTCGTGAACTCCACGTAAATTTCTCTTTGATTAAATCTGAGAATGATAATTAACACATAGAAGTTCGAGTTACTTCTCTTAAAGAGTTGATTTTTTAAAATGAAATATCGAAACTTAGCCCCTGTTTGTTTCCCATTGTTTTAACCTAAAAATGGATTTTTTTACCTTTTTTTTTTAAAAAAAGCATTGGGGCCCACTATGAGAGAAAGAGGTCAAATATTGCGTCTCTTTTTACTGTAGCAATGGTAAAAAATTTTATTTTTAGTGGAAACAAACGGGGACTTAATATGATATCGTAGTTCAAAAGTTGAAATCAATTAATTTAAAATCAACTATCATATTTTAAACGAAACCATGGAGAAAATGCTAATGTGTGCCACCCTAATCATGTCTGGTGTTACAACTATTATTGCAAGAATCTTTTATTAAAATAATCTTAATTAGAAACATCCATGCTTCTACGTGTTGTTTGTCATTTTCTCCAAATCCATTGTTTCTATCCAACATTGGAACCACTTTATATATCTTTGCTCTTTCATTAATTTTCCACCTCAACCCACATTTTTCTTCCAAGAAAACCAAACCACTTCCCTTGTAATCCCCACTTTAATTTCAAGAACCAACTATAGTATTTCTTGTATAGATACATCATACGGGCACGTTTCAGAAATCGAAACTCTCTTGGGGGTGATTATAATCCATGGCTTCATCATCACTTGATCAAAAATTTCAGAGTTCTTTTTCATTTAAACATGAACCAAGAATGCTCAAAGATTTCCTCAAAGATGATTCTTTTTCGTGTTCATCAAATAATTTACGATTATTTCCGAGAAAAAGTCCAAGAAAATCAAATGTAAGGAACAAACCCTCTCCAATACTTCTTAGAAGTGGATCAAAAGCTGCAGCAACCACATTTTATGCACTCAACAAAGTCATTAAGGCTGTTAAATTCTTCCCATTTGCTTCTGTGAAATCTCCACTAGTTTTACCAAGAAGCATTTCCAGTAAACTCTCCAGAAGAACCAAAAACAGAAACGAAAATTTCCCACAAGTGTCCGTTAAAGTCAAGGACATTTTACGGTGGAGATCGTTCAAGGACTTGGCGGAAGAAAAAGCTATGCCTTTGGATTTTTCTTCATCGTCCCCTATTTGGTGTACAACAACAACCACCACCACCACCACAGGATCTACTAGTACTACGACCTCATGCAGCAACAGATCCAGTTGGTGTGACAGTGACTTTACCGCAGCCGATTCACCGTCCTGGGGTGGTGAAAAGGGGAGTAAATCAAGAAGGAATCCAGAGGTAATTTCATAATTTTCTAAAACTTAAATAAGATCATATATTGTTTTCTTTTCTTTCTTTTTGTCCGTTTTTGAACTTTTTATTTTCGCTGTCTGCTGGTAGAATATCAGAATATAAAGGTTGTGGGTCGACGGAGATTTGTCTACGTATAAAACAAAATGGCCAGTTGTTGAATAAAACAAATCTTATTTAGCTACTGTTGGAACCATATTAAAATTTTCATTCTCATTCTTCTACTAATTTTCAATCACACATTCTTCAATAAAAAAATATATTCCACCACATCAATAAATTTTCCTTCTTTTTCAACCACACATTCTCGATCATTCTATTATTCCAAAATACATTCTTCTAAAATAATGTGGCTCAAACGCACCCTTAATCTAATTATTGATCTTTTTTTTTAATATAAAATTAAACCATTCAAAATGACATGGTTTATTAATGCTGAATAATTATGATATACAGGGGGAGTTGTCATTCGGAGAAGCTGAGCAGCATAGCCCAGTTTCAGTTCTTGATTCTCCATTTTATGAAGACGATGAATCCATATTTCCTATTCATCCAACCTTTGCCAAGACAAAATGCATGTTCATGCAAAGACTTCAACAATCCGAGAGGCTTTTAGAATTGGAAAATCTTGGAGAGAACCGCGAGGATAATTTGCTGTTTGATTTCTTTAAGGCTAAAACTAATGGAGAGTTTGATGATTGTGAGAATACTGCAAAACCTTCGATCAACGGAGAATACGAAGATTGGGAGGCGCAGGACATGAAGGAGGTCTGTGTTAAAGATATGGAGAGGGGATTGGACTGGAAAGAGTTTAAAGAGGAGCATGAAGAAATGGCAATGCAGTTGGAGATTCAACTCTTAAGTGATTTGTTTGAGGAGCTTTTGGACGATAAGTAACTTCTAAAATTATGTTTAGAAAATAATTTGTACGTCATTTTAAGCACTTGTTATATAGTGCAATGTACACATAATCTACATTAATGTACATAATCTAAATATTTATAAAATATTCTATTGGTTGTTGTTTAAAATGTTATGGGAAAGATAATTAAAAACAAAAAAAATGTGAAATTGTAGATCGGATGACATCTATCTATTAAGCACTGACTCGCTACAAACTTAGCCTCTGGCTGGGAGCGATTTTTATTCTATTTTTAGCAAAATTTTGATCGTTGGTATGTGCACATGGGTCTCATTGCTGTTGCAATTATTGATTGCCTTATAAATAAATTACCAAAAATGTCATTTTAAGAAGAATGAATTAAATATTAAAAGGACACATGTCATCTGCTTGGTCAATCAATAATTGTGGTTGATATGAGATTAACGTACCCTATATAATGGTAAAATTTTTGTTACAAATTGATAAAAAGTGCTCCTAGAAATGGGTAAACCCTAAAAAGGATGAAAATTACACTCTAAAAAAATAAGTTGACCAATAAATTACAAGCAAGTAAATTGAAGTGTAGTGCATCTCGATATCGACCAATAGTGTGCGGTCTACTCGATGAGATTGATTAAGCATGTGACAACAAATTAAAGGGGCTTAAGATGTTTTGAAAATTTGGTTTGCTGATGGCATTTTAATAGCTTAATCTGCATAAAAATTTCAAGAGCTATATGCCAAATTCTCTTATCCTTCAAATTTATTAAATTGGGTAGAGCTATGGCTATTTCTTTCTTTGGGTTGGCACAAGAAATATATTAATTGAAGTTAGTAGGATGTACTTCGTCTCATTTTGCAAACATGGTCTTTGACTTTAGATACACATAAAGTACATGCATATATGTATGTGTGTATCTGTATATTGAAGTATTGATTTTATAATGTTTGCATTATTAAAATTGAAAAGTAAAAATATGATAATGTATACTAATAAGCAGACGTGACATTAATCAACTGCAGTGAATAAAGAAAGTAATATTATAGGTGTTTGAAATATATCTTGTATACACCTAAGATAATTCTCGTTCGCATGTACTTCACAGACTAGGTTGCGACCGAAGAAATATTTACCAATTTCGAGAAGATTTGGCATTCTATCATTTTTCTTTTTTTTCCCTTAAAACGGCACAAATGAAGTAATCTTAAAGGAAAGCAAGGTCAACTTTGCATCTTTATTAATTTTACATCGAAAATGTTGTCAAATAAATGTATACTTAGTGGCTTTGAGTTGGGAACTCAAATTAGCACACTCCAAGATTGCACCGGCTTTGCTATTTTCTTTTTTATTTAATTCTCAAACCAAACAATCTAATACTCGATCAATCTCGACAAGTTTTATATCAATTCAATCAACATGAGTTGATATTATATATATATATGTCTATTATTTATCGTGTTTATATTTTAGAAGGTAACATATCAAACATATTTTTATAGAATACATACAAAAAAGGAAGTTTATTAATATGATATGACAAAAAAATAGACATGATTTTTATATGCCTCATCGAGTCCATGGGAAATGGCACGATTTTATTCCCATGAACATTGAAATCAAGCAAACAACGTTATTCATTGGAAAAAAAAAAAGAACTCCACATGCAAATCTATATGCCCTTAACTTTGCCTCATTATATACATCTTAAATCCCTATTTGATCTCCATTCTTTAAACTTTATTTTTGGGATAATTGCAACAGCGATTCCAAAAATTTGGAATTTTCACAGACTTTACCTTAACTTTCACTTTGTGCCAACTATAGTCTCAAACCTTTCAAAAATTAGTACATGAAGTCCAAATGGATGATTTCTGTTAGTTTGACAGTTAGTTGGCCCATAAATTTGACTTTGACCAAATCTAAACCATTTTCAAACGGTACAATGATAACTTTATATTTTATATATAAAATAAGGTAAAAATTAAATTTAAAAAAAAAACAAAAAAAAATAAAAACACATATAAACCTATCATGAGTAAAAAGTTTCATTAATCACTGAACTTTGAACTTTGTCACGTTGTGGTCACTCAACTTGGATATTCTTTTGATCGGTCATTGAACTTGCAGAAGGTTACCTCCTTCCATCACCAAACAGCCCAGGTGGCTTAACGGAGTCCGGCGTGGCAGTGACGACGTCATTTCCTTGGCCATGTAAGACCTTAAGTTTTGGAAAACTCTCGTTCACCTTCAATTAGTTCTACATTGAGAGACGAATCCCCAATTCAAAATCCCTAATTCGAAATCCCTTATCCAAATCCCACCCAAATCTAGTAGAAAATCGATCCCTAAATGTCGACTTGCCCAAATTCCTTCCCTTACAATTCCGAAAACACAACCTGAAGCCATACTACATTCCCCCAAAACCTTCGTTGAACGAGCCCTAAATCATTTCCTACTTCATTCATGTTTAGACCAATTTCGAGGCCATCTGTCGCATTGCGGTCATACATAAAGTCATCATACTCAGAAGTCATGTCAACCTCGAAATAAACGAAATCATGGTCTTCCTCGTAATCTGTCAACAAAATGAAAACAATTAGATTAATTACCTGCTGTTCATGAATCACCTATAATAACGTAACTACCATCTATAATTACCAGTTACGTAAAATCATACATACTGGAATTACCTTCATATTTATGCAAAATCATACAAAATGTAAAAGCATACAAACTGGGAGTCTGGGATGACCAGTTAGTAGACTCATTACCAGCAACACACACATTATATTTCAAATCAAAGGTAGGCTTTACCTTCGTGATCTCCCTCCATGTTTGCAAACTGGAACCTCACAAAGAAGTGAAACCAACTGAAAATGTAGTGAGAATCAAGCTAGCTATTTCCAGTTCACTTCAAATGGTAATCCAACATTGTTGCTCCTTCCGACCTCAATTTCTCGAACGGATACCACCTCAACTTCTGCAATCGCGACGGGGAGGAGGAGATTAGGTTTCGTTCAAGGGGTGAATTCGGTTTGGGATGATGACAGGATTTCTTCGAATCTCAGTGGCAATCCAACAATTTTCCTCCTTCAAATCTCAATTTATGGGCTTGAGCCCACCTCAATGTCTGCAATCGCGATGGTGGTTGGGAGATTAGGGTTCGAATTCGTTTGGGAGGAAGACAGGATTCGTTCAATTGAAGGACATGGGGGATTTTTAAAAAATTAAACCCTTACTTGTGACACCGTCACTGCCACTCCGGACTACGTTAAGCCACCTGGGCTGCCTTCCAAACAGGTGGATGTTTGGTGATGAAAGGAGGTAACCTTCTGCAAGTTCAATGGCCGATTAGAAGCAAATCCAAGTTGAGTGACCACAACGTGATAAAGTTCAAAGTTCAGTGATTAATGAAACTTTTTACTCAACCTATCATCTTCCCTATGCCCACCCACTCACCCATCCCACCCCACCAAATCAAAATCAGAAAATTGTCCCCTTGTACATCCACCATCGCCGCCACCGACCCACACCACCACCACAACTCCCCTTATCTAAATCATCCAACCACCCTAATTAGGTAACCCCATGGAAGGGACTTCAACAGACCTGAGTGGTGGTCAGTAATCCAACGCAAGTAAGGGAAAGTTGCAAATTTTCAATTTCGATTTTAATACAACAATGGCAAAAGATGAGGCAGTTTCACTTGTATTAGAGAGAAAATGTGAAATGAAGAATGAAGAGCAATCTCATTCAATTGAACGTGAATCGGTACATTTACATGGTATTTAAATAGAAAGAAAAGATTCCATTTAACTAACTAACTAATATCCTCAACTTCCAGCTAACTCCAGCTGTTAATTCCAGCTCACTCCAGCTCGTATTACCCTCCCTCAAGATGGAGAGTGGAGGTTAAGGACAACCATCTTGGATAGTAAGGGAAATAGAAGAGAAGTGGGTAGTGCCTTAGTAAAAATGTCAGCCAGTTGGTGCTGTGTTCGAATAGGAAGGAGCTTGATGAAACCATCAGTAAGTTTATCTCTGACAAAGAAGCAGTCAATCTTTATATGTTTGGTGCGCTCGTGGAAAATTGGATTTGAAGCAATATGGATGGCCGCTTGATTGTCACAGAAGATCAGTGCAGGAGAATGTGGGGAAATTTGTAGATCAAGGAGCAATTGATTAATCCAAATCAACTCACTAGTAATAGACGCTAAAGCCCGGTACTCTGCTTCAGCAGATGTTCTGGAAATGGTAGTCTACCTCTTAGCCTTCCACGATACCAAAGACTCTCCAAGAAACACACAAAATCCTGTAACAGATTTTCTTGAATCAAGGCAGGACCCCAGTCTGTATCTGCAAAAGCTCTCAACTGAAAAGAAGCGTGTACAGGAAATAAAATTCCTTGACCTGGGGTGGATTTTATGTACCTCAACAGGTGGTGGACTGAATCTATATGTGGTTGCCTTGGTTGGGATATAAACTGGCTTAACTTGTGAACTGCAAACGTGATATCGGGTCTCGTGATGGTCAAGTACAATAGTCGCCCAACTAACCTTCTATACAGTGATACATCAGCTAAAACATCACCTTTAAAGGAGTTGAGAAGAATCTTTGGATCCATGGGTAAAGAGGTGGGCTTACAGGCCAAAAAGCTTGTGTCTTCAAAGAGTTGAAGAGTGTAGTGGCTCTGTGATAAGAAAATGGCTCTAGATGATCTAGCAATTTCTAAGCCCAATAAGTATTTCAACTGCCCCAAATCTTTTAGCTTGAATTGGCTATATAAGAGAGTCTTTAATGTTTTCACTTCTTGATGGTTTGGCCATGTGATGATTATATTATCTACATACACAAGTAAGGCCACAAAAGAAGCACCAATGCCTTTGGTAAACAATGAATTGTCAGACTTCGACTGGTTATACCCATTTTAGATGAGAGCATGTGAGAATTTTGCAAACCACTATCTTGAGGCCTGTTTCAAACTGTATATTGACTTGTGTAGTTTACATACTA